TCCTAGGCAGAATACGATGCTGAGATATCACCATCTCTCCCTCCAGAAACTTCACTGCCTTAAAACCTAAGAAAACATTGTTTTTACTTCTCAGACAGTTACTGAGATCAGGAGATGACTCAAGATCACTCAAATATGCAAGAATCTTTTCAGTGACTCAGTAGGATTTACATCCAGGCTTAATGCCCTGGAGAGCAGTGGATGAGAGTACAGTGAGAGCAGCCTGCACTGACAAGAACAGAAGCTGGCATTTCAGAAACACCAATGTGTTTGGAGTGGTAGAAAGTGGCAGTGGATGCCTTTGGTGTTATCAAATAAAGATTTGGGACTATGAGACACTCATAAAAAAGAAAAAAAAAGATGCTCCAAATTCAAAGAAACATGCTTTTCCAAAATAAAACAAAATAAAATAAAATAAAATAATAAAATCCAGATTATTTTGATTGCAGGCACTTTAACAGGCCTTCTAAACCCAAAAGAAAACGAAAGAGGGGGCTGAACTTTACTATTTGTACATGACATCCTTCCGAACGGGAAGGAGGCTGGGACAGGGTCTCCAGGGTCCTTCTTGCAAGATCTTCATGGCACCAGTTCAGACCTTGCTCTCCCCCTGCACTTACAACCCATCATTGGATGGTGACCACTTGCAGCCCAGCAGGCTCCGAAGTGGAGAATATTATATGAGTATGTGTGGGATCATCCACACTCTGCCACTGGATCCGTTCCAGAGACAGATAGTCTCTGAGAGAAAGGACAGCAAGGTCGGCTGAACAGCCCGGTGTAAGGTGTGCAGGTATAATGGGGTATATGGCTTTGGTTCGAACTAATAGTTATTTCTTTGTATACTGAAAGGGTAGTGTGAAGTTGTTGACAAAGCACTCAGCTGAGAAGTTAGTTCAAACCGTTCTTACAGAGCAGGAGTTACTTGTCTCTTGGCAGGGAGGGGAACACACTCAGCATTATTTCTGCCTTTGTAATCTTGTGAATGACATCCTGGTCCTTTCGAGAGTCCAGCTCAGAAATCAGTGTATCTATCTGCTATAAAAAATTCTGCAGTGAGTTGTTGCAGCATTTCCAGTTCTGCTGTACACGTACACACATCTGATGATGCTCACTAAATCTGATCCAAATATATTGGTACTTGAAGTTGTAATTTTCAGCAAATAAATGACTTGCCAGAAGAACTTTATTCAGCTTTGTGGAAAATAACTGTGTAAGAAAAGGCAAAAGTACACTGTTAACTTGTTTCTCAGGAGCTCCGATTAAGCAGGTTTTGCCTGCTGATCGGTCTTATGCTGCACTTGCCTCTCTTTTAACTCCGTTTCCAGTCAGCTCTTAGACCTTAAGTTGTTCATCAAAAGTCTGTTGCAGTGGTCCACAGCCTCAGTTCCTCGGAAGTTCTGATCAGCCACTTCAGTCACTTCTCAACAAAACCAGCTGCATCCTTACATTCCCATTTGATGGCAAACCAAGCCCAAGTACCCAGGATAAAATCTTTTCCTTTCTCTTTTGAGGACATTTTCCTGCTTTCCTGTGCAGGATCCTGGCACTTGAATAAAGGAGAATGCTCCCTGAGGAGTTGCCATGGTAACCTGTGATGGTTTTTTGTTGTCTAAGATTAAATATAAGCAAGGGAGAAATTAGAGAGAAGAATTTTATACAAGAGTTTATCATCTTTAACACCAAAGCTGAACTGCACCTCCAACTTCCTAAAGCAATAACAGTCACCTTGAGGCTGATGTCAAGTTGGTAATTTTCACTGGAAACAAAATTAATTGCTGTATTTATTATTCAAGAGCCATGATGAGAAAAAAAAATCATATCTGAAAGATGTAGCAAATAAGAAAGAGAATGAGATCATTAGAAATGAAGCGACATGGAAGTGGGAATAGTTGCTACAAATAATATCTAAACTTGTAATGCAAGAATGCCGTGCATATTCTATTTTCTTCTTAATAGGGTTCAGTGATATACTGCTCTTGAACTTACAGTCAAATAAAAACTCCAAATTCATGTTGTTCTTAGAAAATAACTTCAAGTCTCACAGCACATACAAGGAAGTAATTTTTGAATGTATCAGTATCAGTCCAGCAACAAACATAATTTGAAGATTTGTAATGAAAACAAAGTTTGTTTCAAGATGGTGTGATGGAGAAAGGATCCACCCAAACTGCTCTAAGATATGAGCATCAAAGGCAGATGGGGAAGTCTAGGATCAGGAAAGGGCATGAGAGCTGAGCCAATAGAAAAATCATTTCCATGAGAAAATAAAAAAGGCAATGCTGGGAAAAACCAAAGACAATCCTGGGAGGCCAGCAGGGAGGGAGCACAGAAGTGCAAGGAGGATGTTCAGGAGCTCCCAGCCCGGGGAGAGGAGGCAGAGGGCTGATTCTAGAGCACTCGCATCACAGTGGGTCCCTTCTATCTGCAGCTGCACCTGGACACCCCAGCAGAAGCAGGACCACAGATCGGGCTGCTTGGCAGCGGTGCAGGCAACAGGAAGACCGCTGCCCCGGCTGAGCAGGTGAGCACACACAGGCTGCGTATACTTCAGCGCTGCTGAACTGCACAGCCCAGCTAGGGCTCATGTGGCATCTCCTGGGGATGTTTCCTTCAGAGATGGAGGGAAATGATACAGGAGGTGTGACAACCTGGAGCATCTCTCCGAAGCTTGGGTCGAGGTCTCCCCTGCAATGCGAAAGAGCTGACAAAGCAACTGTCAAGTTTCATTGTCCCCAAGATAATGTCCTTCAAAGCTGTATATATTATACATTTCTGTTTATCTTGAAAACGTGCCATCACTTTAAATGTGACTTTAGCAACTCTAGCTTCTTGCCCGTGATATGCAGTGGTAGATAAGGTCTGGGCTGGGTGTTTTCTACTCCTCTTCTGGGTACTTAGAGGTTTGTGCTCCCTGAGCTGATTTACCTCATCATCTTGGGGCTGTTGGTAGAAACAACGGGACTGGGCACTCCAAGGGAATGGGATGGGTTAGAAAGGCTGCAGGGGAGAAGGTGCAAGGGAGGGAGCAATATATGGCTCTGAACATGGCATAAGTGCAGACATAAACTTCCTGAACTGGGAGTTTTGTGGGAAATGCCTTTTAGCAGAGGAATGAAAACACAAGTCTGATGTGAGATAAACCAGCTGGTGATGTGGAAGACAACCCTGAAAGTCAGAAGGAGATCCTACTGCAAAAAAATCAAGTGTTACTGCAAGCTGACCTATATTGCAATTGCCCTCCACTGCATTAAGGGATTTTGGATTTTAAATGCTACCAATAATTCTCTGAGCTTTTGGACAAGCCTGGGAAGGGGGTGAAGGAAGGATCTGTGCATGCTGACTCTCAGAAGTAACCTGGAGTAGCCTGGAGATGCAGTGCTGTGTGTTGAAGATGGCAGGGAAAGGGGGAAGCAGCAGGTTTTGGAAAGGAGAGGGCAAAAATAGGACATGGGTGCACAATGTGATGGCAGAGCTGGAGGGTCTGAGGAGTTTGTGCGTGGTGGTCACCCTGCACCTAATGCTTGGGGTAAGAATACAGGGCCACAATTCATGAAGGTGAAACTCCTCACAGATGGAAAGGCAGAATGGGGTTTCCCAAAGGAGATGAGGGCAGCTGGGAGGACCTCAGAGAGAGGCAGACCTGGGTGAAATTTGATAAAAAACTTTTTTTTTTTTTTTTTTTAAACTAAAGGCACATTTGTACTCTCAGAAATCCTAATTTTTTATAGTAAAAAAATCTGACTATAAAAATAGTTCAACCTCACTTCTAATGACTCCACCATGAAAGCCACACCCATTTAATTTTGATAAAAACTGAACAAAACAAGATTTTCTTCTGCACATTTTTTTGGATGGTTTTTTTTGGTAGGTAGGTTGGTTTTTGTTAATGTAAAAACCCCCTGACATCCTTCATTTGCTCAGGTGTACTCATGTTTAGAAGGTGATATAAGCTACAATATTTCATGTAGAGGAAAGGAGGGAAGAGTGTTGTGCAGCTGAGTTTGAGGTTTCTGTGGCTGAAAAAGGAAGCATTGGAGGAACAGCCCCGCAGAATTGATTTTAAAGAGATGGGTTTTCCGATGATGTGAAAAAGAGGCAGACAGACAGTAGGGAAGAGACAAGCAATCACTATTCCAAGGCTAGAAAGCAAGAAAAGTAATGGAGCTATCAAATAATATAAAGAAAAGAGAGACGGGAGAAATGAGAAGGAAAGATGGGGAATTATCTGTGGGTCATGGCAGTTTTTGGACCATGGTGTTGAGAAATTGTCAGAAAAACATACAAAAAGCAACAGAGCTCTCTCTGGTCCCAGTGTCCCAGGGCTGTGGTTTGGAGTTTTAATTATTTGTGCATATTGTGTTACTCAGTGCTCTTCCTGTTTACAGTTCTGTGGATTTTAAGATCAAAAAGCATAACTGCCACTGCATTTTGTGGTATGCTGTTAACCCAGCCTACTGCTGAGCATCAGTAAGAAAGAGCTGCTCTCTAGGCCAATTTTACACTGTGATCTTTTAAAAATGTTTTATTTTGAAAGGTGGTTTCAGCCTCATAACAGTTTTTAATTCATGTGTCAGTCATTTGGGAACAGGCTATTCTGAGGTGCAAGATATACTTACATTTTACTCCCTCACATGTCTGTAAAAATGAGGTACAGGGATAAGAGTCCAGGGTTTTATCCCAAAGTTTTTGGTGCTGCCATAGAGCTGCTTTATCTACTAATGCCAATTTTCTCACCTTTTATAAAGTAGGTTTCTGATGTATTCGTTTCAGAGTCAAAGGGGCAACACAGACAACTGTGGGAACTGACTTATTTGTTCATGTACTTTAATTTTGAACATGAATTTTGTCAGTAACTCTGTGCATTTGTATTCCCTTTTCTTTCAGTCCTGATCACACTTCTCCAACCACTCTGCGTCACCTACTCCTTGCCAGAGGAGTCCTGGAAGTCCTGGATAAGTCTTTTCACACAGTCCTCCTCAATTTAGTAAAGAAAGGCCATGTCTGCTTTTGATCTGGTGAATCAAAGCATGCAGCATGCAGAGCCTGAAGTAGAATTTATCGCCCCATGGATGAAAGTGAAGGATGATATGTTTGTCTTTGTGGATGGTAAATGGGTGAATGCGATCTGCTGCCAGCCATCCTTTCCTTCCCAGAAAGTCTTTAGCAAGAAGGCACAGAATGAGTGGAGCATCTGGGAGGAGAACAGAGCACTCTGGGAGGAAAACCAAGTCCTCCGGATAGAAAACAGGATGCTCTGGGAAGAAAACAAGGCTCTACAATGTCAGCAGTCACAGAACAAAGCTGTCCAGGTTATTTACAGTGATGCCATTCAGCAAAGCATCCAGAAGGAAAATAAGCCATTCTCATTCTTCCAAGAGAGGAATATAGGCTTTCAGATCAGCTCAAGCAACAAAACCCTCCAGGCATTCCAGGAAAAGAAAAGAGCCTTAGGGGATTTCCAGCAGGATAATAGAAAAGTCCACATTACCTGGAAAGACCAAAAAGCTGTCACAGAGAGCAAAGATGCCAGCTCAGACCTTCAGAAGGACACTTGTGCCATCACATTCAATGAGGAGAGCAAAGATGCCAGCTCAGATCTTCAAAAGGACATCTTCACCGTGACATTTGATGTAGACAGCAAAGAAGCCAGCTCAGATTCTCAGAAGGATACTAACACCATCACAGTCAATGAAGATAGCAAAGATATCAGCTCAGACCTTCAGAAGGACACTGGTGCCATCACAGTTGGGGAAGAAGGTAACCCTGGCCAAGCCCCCCAGCAGGAACATGGAGCTAAAAACAAAAACCCCACTGCAACCCAGGATAAGACCATGTCTGCCCCAAGCATGCAGAGTGAGTATGAAATCCTCCGGGCTCTCCAGGACTTACATGAGCTCCTCTACGTTTTCCTGAAAGTGAACCATCATATCACTGGGGAGAAACCAGGCTGTCATGTTCTCTATGATGTGAACAGAGCCTTCCAAGAAGATTACAATAAACTGAAGCTGCAGCTGAATGCTGTGAAAAACACTGTGTCAGACATTACAGCTCAAATGGAAATGTTGGAAAAGGAGCTCATTACCATCACTTGCCCAATGTATGAAGAAACAGGACTGAACCTGGCACCTGGGCATCAGTTTGGAGAGATGTGAAGCTAAGATCTGTTAGTTCCATTTCTCGGAAAGCTTCTCTCCTTGCTTCAGGGAACCTAATAAAATCCCATTAAAGCCTGAAGATACCTGGGGTACATTGTGTTATTCTGAAACTTTCTTACATTACTTAGAAGTATTTCACCTTCTGATTATACAGTGTGGGTGACTGTCATGAATTTGCCTAGTGTCGGGAAGCCAATTCTCAGCATTTTTTTAACGTTTCTGATAATAAGGCCTAGATTTTAAAAAGACAGTTAATGCTTTTCACACTTAAATTGAGGTACTTTATGTTGACCATATTTTTCAGAGGGATGTGCCCTTCCTGAAAATGAACATCCTAACTGCGAGCTGAATTTGGATGCCGGTGGTCCCTTGCTTTCTTACGGCTGGCCAAGTTTAATGGCTGAACTGTGTTTTCTGCCCCACACCAGCCTTCCCTATTTCGTATAGGGTAAGCAGTGGATCATGGAAAATGTAGTCTCCCAGGTGAGACAGGTCCATGAAAGACAATGGGACACAGAAAATCACAGTATATATGCCATATATATATACACGCACTTACACATTCTAGCTGTCTCCTTTTCCCAGTCCCACATTCCCACTTAAATTGTTATATCTTTCCCTTGTTTCTCTTCTTCAGAAAGGAATTCATGTCTTGACTCAGAGTATAACACAATCATAAAGCAAACATCTCCCTCCAGAACAGCATGTCCCTTTCTGCCTTGGTTATTTGTAAATTTCCTTCATTGTTTTGTACCTTAATTAGGCTTAATTCTTCTCAAATTGCCTTGTTTTGGTACACTCGAATAATCCTACTGATTTCAAGTGAGATGATTATTTGCTAATAAATGACACTTTTAGGATGAAGTGTGTATAGGAAAGACTGCTTAGTGTTTTATTTATGGCTCACTGCTAAAAGAAAATTCCTGTAGACTTTGGTAGTCTTTTTAGACCAAGTCTTCTTTGTGGCCAGGGATCAAGTGTATCATTGTCTGGAAAGAATCATGTGTAGTTATGGAGCTAACAGTTTTCTAGCCTGGAGGAACACTGATATTTCTAGTGGTACCACAGTGCAAGGGAAAGGGCAATGCCCTGACCCTGCACAGCAAAAGCCCCTGGGCAGCTCTATGAGTCTGAGCTGTCTTTCTGAAATCTTCCATTGGGCTTCGAGAGCTGAAAGCAGGACTACATGTCTCTCAAGAGCTTGCTGTCACATGCTGAGGACTGGGCTGGGCTAAGGCCGATACCCTCACCAGCACTGCTCCATCACCCAGTGCAGGCAGGTGGGGAAGGGCTGACCTCCTCTGCACCTTGCCCCTGCTGCTGCGTATCTTAGGACATTTACACCTTGTCCTTGCAGCATCTTTTTTTGATATGCTCATGTTTAAAAACGTGGTCTACTCTCACTTGTGTGGCCGGAGTGTCTGGAAATGCATTTTCCTCTGTCTTGGACATCCCTAATGCAGTGCAATTTGTTGCAATCTTTCAGGCAGAATACAGGAATCTTTAGGTAATCTAACAAGACAGGCGCAAAGAGACTTCTGCAGAGCAATTGCAGGAGCATTATTGTAAAGCAAAGTGAAGGTCATGATGAGGTTTACGTTTTGCAATAGGACCCAAGAAACAGGATGTCACTCTAGTCTATAGGTCTCTTAAGTGATGTGGCACCAAATTACCGAAAGGAGTGAAGAAATTGTTTCCTACAGAAGCCTTTGGCTGATTTTAAAGCCAACAGCTCTAAAATACTACCACCGTTCCCTGAAGTGATATTCATCCCACCTGCATGGAGATGGAGGCACTTAAATGAAAGTGGTAATTGACAGCTGTGGCCACCTAGGCTGGTTTCTGCAAATGATGGAGGAAGGCAGCCTTGCCAGAGGGACCCTCTCCAAGTCTTTCCCTGTTGTCTTCTAGCTTTTCAGCCTTTCTATGCCTGTGGGTTAATATTTTTGTTGTTGTTTTGAGTGCACAAGGTAAAATCACAAAACTTTCAAATTTTCAGAAAAATGTAGTTGATGGAAATGTTTTCTAAATGTAAATTGAACATGTTCCTTTTGATCATGGGCTATGCCAAAGCTCTAACATACATCTTTGATCTTATGGTAGTGTCTGGAGAAATTATGGGATTCTAATATGGAATAATAGATTCTCATCAAGACTTCTAGCTTTAGGAAATTGTTTAATCTCCATTCTCTGTGGCTCTTTCTTTGATGCAGCTGTGACTGAAGGGTCCCAAGTTCTGGGAAAAACAGCTCACCAGCTCAGAACAAAGCTGATAATGTAAATTGTGCATGAAGTTTTAATTTTATTCTGTAAATAAATATTCCATTAACATCCATCTGTTAAAAGTCAGGTAAAACATTTTCAAAACCTCCATTGCTATGACAAATGTGACTGTATCATAAATAGTGATGGGGTGGTGGCATGGGAGGACATTCAAGTGTAAAGTACAAAGCACATTTTAAGAAGCAAGGAAGGTGTTAACATTTAATTACAATGAAAGGAACCTTGTCTGATTGTTTCAGACAGACAGTACTTTCATTTGTGTAGTGTTTGCATTATGCAAAACGCTTTCTCTGATCACCGTCTCCAAGATCACTACTAATTATAGCTCATTAATTCACTTAAAATACAAAAACATTTCCAGTGATGAAGGTCATTACTGAACAATGCCCAAGCCTCTTCCTTAACATGTTTTTATTTCAACAGGCTATTTTTGAGTACTCATCTTCCCTTGGTCTATCTGGTACTGCACTGCCAACAGTGTTAAAGATTATACTGCTCAGGAAGAGACTGATGAACCCTATCAGGTTTTCTAAATTACCCTTTGAGGAGTATGAAAAGGTTTAAGTGCTCTTAACCCATAGCAAATTTTAACTATTTTAAGTAATCAGAGATTTCATGGGCACTGCAAAAGAGCACTTGACAAAGAAGCAGCTAGATGATTGGAATAGGTTTCACCGATACTCAAAGTATAAAACTCTCTCAGCTAGAGATCACAAACAGGTTCCTTATATATTCTTTAACATCCTGGAAGATGAATTGTAAAAGTCCTAATTTAATTATGAAAGAATGGAACAGTTATTTTCTATGGGACACACGTAGGGGATGTTTAGAGGTAGTCCATTGCTCTCCGCCTCCAAGATGGAACAAGCAAGGAGAAATTGCAATTCTTCAAGGTACTATCAGACTTGAATGCGACCTTCCAGTGTTCTGCTATTCCACCTATGTTCCTCATTTGTAGGAAATCTGCACCATATGTGCAAACTCTTACTGCTTGGTGGAAGCTAGCCTTAGGCATAAAATCGCATGCCTATAAATAACTAATTGTTGGTACAACAAAATACCATATGCTACACTAAAGCTAACAGTCTAATTCCCAGTAAAACCAGTGTGTGTGTGTTTAATGTGTGTTAAAAAGTGAAACCTTTCTACCAGAGCAAATAAAAGCAGAGTTTGGCACCAAGTTTCAAGTATGGTTTATTGCTGAGTTATAATGCACTTGCAAATCTGAGAGAGCTCAGTGGTTCTCCATGTATCAGATATTACAAGCCGTGTCCTCATTCATATCCAGTTTTCCAAAGAAAGTGTGAGGTCATGGGGACTGTTGATACAACTGATAAATATGGCTGATCTTACAGGCTCTCCTCACGCTTCAGAATGCAGCAAGTCTGTTCTGACTGTACCTTTTCTCAGCTATTGTAGGCTTTCATCTCCAACCAGATTTTCTGGTGGTGTGGGTGTTGGGCAACAAATAGAGGCTGGTGCAGCTTTGATCGCCTCCCACATCCCTAGCTGTCACAGGTGGAGTCAGATTAAGAAAGGGAGCTTATCCCACCCCACCAGGCCAGACCTCTGACAAGGACATGATAGGAAGGGATCTTGAGCTTTGCTGTATTCAGTATTGCTGCCCTGCCCAAAGCTTTGCTCAGGTGCAGTCTGTGAGACCCTGAGGTCTTAGCTCTAACACAGTGTGAGAAATACAACACACAAATGCAACCCTCCTCAAGAAGGCTGAACACCTCATTTGTGACATTATACAGGCTGATGTGCTCTGCTAAGACAGGCAGGAAGAAGCAAGTGACTCTGCTAGAGAACTTCTCTAGAGCTGGAGCATTAGACTGGCCAAGACTGCTCAGGAAAGTACTGTTTTCTGGCATGGACACCAGCTGTTCTGCAAGTGGAAAGCCCAGACTCCTCCTAGGAATAAACACAGATACAGAGTGGATGCACACAGCCCATGGAGTTGTTCTTCTCCAGGCAAATAAACAGTCACAATAAAGCATGTGTTGCATGATCTGTATTCTTTCATAACACATAATCAAGGTTTCATCTGGCCTGGCTTTCACAAGATTCAGATGCAAAACTTAGATCAGTCTTCAAAAAAATATTTGTGTATCTCTCCTCTTGACTGCCCATGTCACAGATTTGTTCTGCCCCTCCACCCATGAGGTGACATGATGGTTATCTTTTTCCCCACCATATGCCTAATCCCTCCTCAAATCCTTGCCCATTCTCACCTCCTAAACCCCAAGAGCCTTACCTGGGACAAGTTACTGTAAGTCACATAACATACATGTTGAAATCAATTCTTTTCTGAGGGATGAGGTTCCTGGGGAGCTTTGGAAGTGTGATGCTTTTGCTGGTATCTAAAACTGGGCTTGGATTCCAAGTAATTTCAGGAAATTACTTGAATGCAGGACTGATCAGGAATATTTCTGTCCTATTTATTAACTTTTGGCAGAGGAGAAAAGAATTCCCATAGCTGATGGGTTTTCCATCTTCTGGCAGGCAGAGAGCAATAAGACTTCCAGGGCTGAGTGGGCTTGGTGAATGTCCCCTTCCCCCCATGCTCGCAAAGGGACATTTCCAATTCATTACATGTTGCCTATCCAGAATGAAAATCTTTTTTAAAGAGGATTTTTAGAAGACACACATTAATCAGATGCCTGTGTGATCTTTGCATCAGAGGCCAAGGATTGTTGGCAAGCTTTATTGAG